GAAAAGGTCAACCAACCACTGCCCTAAAAGGCCAATTGCCACGGTCTTTTCTAGTCCCCAGTTTATTCATTGTTTTTTCTACTTACTCTCTCATGTGCGGAGCCCTTACTCAAGTCTGAACCTTAAGACACTCCAGTTCTTTTCTTTGGATATGTATGATAAGCATAACTTCTTAGTCTGAAGGAAATTCCATGGAAGAAGCAAACTGCCTTGTGAGGAAAAAAGGTGTTAAAGCTAATGAAAGAACAGTTCAAGTCATCAGAGCATCTGAATGGTATTTTAGTACCACTGAGTGCAAATTCTGCAATAACTCTAAATAGAACATCACAACTAGCACCTCCACAACAGTCTGCAAATTCATAGCACAACTCACTTGAGTGATTTTTTTCCATAAGAAAAAGTGTGCATGGTCTGCCCCTAGTCATGAAAAGATGCCTTGTCAAGTTGTTTCAGCTCCAGAGAGCCTAAGTTTCACAAATACCTCAACTTAGAAGAGTTTCACAAGACAGTCCTTTTATTAAAAGGGGGGAGAGAGAGAGAGAATTGCAATTAGATTAAAGGATATTTCGTGCCAAGTTTACAGCCAATGGCAAGCATCCTGGAAAGCACTCTCCGGGGCTTCACTGGCCTGCCAACACAGAACCCCTCACAGAATTTGGACCTAATGCTGTGCCACAAGAACCTGAAACCAAGGTAGCTTTTCCTGTTCATCATCCCCATTCACAATAACTATGTATCAGATCTTACCACTTCCCACCTAACTAAAAAAATAAATAAATAAAAATCAGGTTTTAGTTTAGAAAAGCATCAGATGATGCAACCAAGATTATGAACAAGGACCCAGTGTTTTACAAATATAATTTAAAAACTGATCCCAGCCCTTCAAATTATAACAAATGATCACGGACATAAAAAAGAAAGAGTAAAAATCACCGACTTATAGAAAAGTGAAGATTATACAAACAAGCCTTTAGCACTACAGATAAAAACTGAAGGCAGAATCCTGTCCAACATGCTGGAACTGTTGCATTGCAAATCAGCTGGACTCCTCAGTTTAGTTAAGAAACTCTCCAAACTCTCCTTCCTCCTCCCTCTCCTTTAGTATTTGAGACAGTTTGACATGAAAACTAAAAGCTCTTGCTAGCCACTGCACTACCTTCCTGAGCCACAGGCTGGAATAACCCAGCTCTAGTCGGACACGGACCAGGGGGCTTCCATGGCCTTGCAGCAGTGGAGGGCTCTGCCCATGCCCAGTCTAAGCCAAAGGTAGCTGCACTGGGGCCAAGCAATAGGGAGCTACTAGGGCCAGGCAGCTGGGACCTGCGCCCACATCATCACCACTACTTCTCCCTGACCCACCAGCTGTGGTACAGGTGCAGCTTGCAGTCACCCAGCTCTGGCACAGCTCACCAGTGCCCAACCCCAATGTGGGCAGAGCCCCCCTGCCAATGCAATGCCAAAGCCTCCCAGCTCAAGCCAGATCCAGTAGCTCTGCAAGCCAGATCTGGCCCAGGTACCTTATGTTTCTGACCCCTCATCTAATGCAATCAATCATCCCCGCTTCCAACCAACAGACACTTAAGCCATTTACCCTGTCTAAAATGTATTAAGATAGGAGGCTCTATAGTTTCAGCCATGCAATTTACTCTTGATAACAACTGATACTGAAACAGTGTTTCAGTACTATCATTTACATCATCCCGCAATTGGGCCCGGTGATGCCAAGGGCAGGCAGGAGCTCACCAATACACTCAGACACAGCCAGCACGGGGACTTCTTCCTAAAGAGACGAGCAGGCCCACGCCGGACTGTACGCGAGCTGCTTGTCTAACGGCAGAGTTCAAAACCAACCCATCTCTTGCCTTCCTCCTCTCACTGCTTCCTTGAAAATGGGAGTGGGAAAGTGGGGGAAAAGCCCTCTAGAGACCAGCCCTCCTGGCCTTTTCCCCCATTCTCCATCTGCCTCATCTCCCTGCCACATGTCAGTCATTTCTGGAGATGCATCACTACAGGGACACTGGGAGCGCAGTCCCAACAGCTCCTTTCCCCTTATTTAACCACTTCTCCAAACTAGAGAAAGGAGACGTGCACCAGGCGCTCCGTCTCCCCAAGCAGAGACAGGCCACGGGTTGGGGTTTTGACCTGGCACAGGTACCCGCGCACCACTGCGACTACGCAGGTCGCCCCGTCCTTGCCTCCTGCTCCGGGACCAGCCCGGCCAAGGAAGGAACAGGGCAGGCACTAGGGTGAGCAACCGCTTGCAGGGCAGCGTCGAGTCGGGGCGAGGGTGAGCGGGCTGTCCCACCGGAGCATCGCCCCTGCCCTGCGTGACCCCGGCACTGGCTCCTAGCCCGGCCCGTGGGGCCACTGGTGCCAGGGGCAGCTCCTGCTCCAGCGCCGCCGACCCTGGCGAGGGCCCCTCCGCCCGCACCCCGGGGCCCCGGCCCGGCCG